TGGAGAAAGAGAGTTAGAAAAAGAGAGACAGAGAAAGATGCCGAAAAAAGTGGTGGTGAAAGAGTGATACAGAAAGAAGACGGAGAATGAGTGGCGGAGTATGAGAGGCAGAGAAAGAGTAATGGGAAAAGGTGGAGAAAGAGGACACGGAAAGAATGACGGAGAAAGGGAGACGGAGAAAGTAACACGAAGAATGAGACGGAAAAAGAGAGACGGAGAGAGAATTATGGAGAAAGGGTGATGGAAAAAGAGGGACGGAGAAAGGTTGACTGGAAAAGAGAGACGGAGAAAGAATGACGGATAAAGAGTCACGGGGAAAGGAAGACGAAGAAAGAGATATGGAAAAAGTGAGGCCAAGAAAGATATACGGTAGAAGAGAGACACCGAAAGAATGACGGGGAAAGAGAGACTGAGAAAGAATGACAGATAAAGAAAGACAGGGAGAGAGAAAAGGAGAAATAGTGATGGAAAAGAAGAGGTGGAGAAAGAGAGGAGGAGAAACATGCGTAGAAAGACACGGAGCACGGCACAGATGAAGACCCCGAGCGAGAAACGGAGACAGTGAAAGAATCTGCGAAAAGAGTGAAAGAGAGAGAGAGAGAGAGAGAGAGAGAGAGAGAGAGAGAGAGAGAGAGAGTGTGTGAAAGAGACAGAGAAAGAGTCGGAGACAGTGAGAGAGTCAGTGAAAGGCACAGGGAAGGAGAAAGTGACAAAGAGGCAGAAAGAGACGCCCGAGTTGAAGGAAGAAACGGGCGTTGAGAGAGGAAAGGAAGGTTGGAGAAATGAAATCACCCGTGCGCGCCCGGAGGTGCGGCTGCTTGGCTAGCCAGTCCTTGAGGTGCTGCAGGTCGGCCTTGAGGCGCTCTGGCGACTCCTGCAGCTCTTCCTGGGCGGCCTTGGCCAGCGCGGGCGGCAGCGGGCGAACCCCTTCCATCTGCAACAGCGCACCGCGCTCAACTCACCGCGCCCACTCCAGTCACCGGCGCTACAAAGCAAGTCAAAACCTTATTTCTTCTGCAGCAAGCAAAACAAGAATCTGAATAAAGTAGTGACATTTTTGGTTTTTGTGATATTTCCACTCTGAAATCAAAGCTCAAATTCGTGTTCGGCCCCCACAAACATATTTAGAACCAGTTAGAAAATAAAACTTACGGAATAATATCCTAAATCTTTCACCATTTGGATGGGCTAAAGAGTCTGACAATACAGTCAATTTGTGGTGAAATATATTAAGTAATATATTTTTACATTCTCGCCCTTACGTATGGAAGAGGATAAAGTATTGTAAACGCGTACAATTAAATTTTCGACACAATAAACTATTATTACCGACCTTGGTAATGCAAAAGTGGATAAATTTTATGTTACTAAATATAATAAATTACTTCCTATAAAAAAAGACGCGCTGTAGCCAGAATCCTATCGCAAAATTTTCGTATCGCAAAATCGATTGACAGCAAAACGTCTGTCTGTTTCTTCATCTGTTGGTCAATGCTAGCGCTTAAATCGTGTAGCCGATTTTTTCAACATTGATATTCCCCAATCAGAAAAAAAACTAAATAATGCCTCTGAGATAAATTCAAATCGCCTATTTCGTCGCCCAAAAATACCTCCTTTCTCCGCTAGTTGGTGAAAGGAGCGTAGCAAATTTGCGTGGTCAGACGGAAGAGCGGGCCTTGCCCCATAAAATAAGGTTCAATCAATTCAATTCACAAAAGTAAATTATTCGAATGTTCTCTCATGCCGTTGATATGCATATTTCCTGTAATTTGTAAACATTATTGTATTTGTGAGTTAAAGTACTTGAAATGACTTCAAATGAAGTTTTTCGAAAGCTCAAAATCTTTCTGTGAAAAAGAGCTTTAAATTTCAAATTTACAGTAGCATTTAAACGCCAGTTTTTGAAAAACAACTGAAGTTTTCGAAGAAAATTGCCATTTAGATGAACGTGTTACTGTTCTTTAATAACTTTAAAATAATATTTTCGCTCTACAATTAGAAAACCAAAAAATTGAGAAAATGTTTAAAAGAAATTACTCTGGGCGGTGATAGATAGCAGCTGGCAAGAGCGTGTGGCAATTCCGACTACCTAGGCGATAACAAAAGAAATAGAAAACTAATTCGCGGATGTCTGTGCCATTCTGTAGCACCTCTAGTTATTAATGTAATGTTCTTTAAATACACAATGTTATGTCAATTTTCTGGAAATGTAAGTACTTTTGTGAAATGCTGAGCGAAATATCAATATATTTTAATTTTTTGAACCATTTTTTTTTCAAAAATGGCTTTAACTTTTTCGTAGGTTTTCTTCTCGTTTGTATCATAGGACGGTTAAAAATATGGCTCTAGCCGCATTTTCGGCGACCTCTCCATATTTTCGAAAATTATTAAAAATGATCTACAAAATTGAAGTCAGAGATTTTTGCCATAGACACAGCATTTTCTAACACTTCAAGTCTTAAAAAAGTTCATGTAATTTTCTTTTTTGTTGTTGTTGTTGAAAAAAAGAGTAGTTTTCACGAACTTTGTGCTTGAAATTCATGCAATTTCTAAAAAAAACTATTTTCTCGAAAACCCCCACCGCTCCAAATTATTTCTCTAACTTTCCCCTCCCATGTGTAACAAAGAACCAAAAATATACGGCGATAGTCCCATTTTCAGTGAACTATCCATATTTTCAGGTATTACCAAACGTATCACTTCAAAACTATAGAATAGTAGATAAAGATTTTTGCCTTATAATCTGATATAAAAAATAAGCCTTTTATAAAAGTACAAATACAGTTTTTTTACGATAAAATCGTTTTCATACAGTTTGTTTAAAATTAATGCAAATTACAAAAACAGTTTCCCAAAAACTGGCCTTAATTTTTCTTTAACATTTTCCCCATTTTAAACAAGTGACGCCTAAACTTGGCGTAAGTCTCATTTTCTCTCTGAATTTTAGAAAATTGCGAGTTCGTGAGTTTTACGTATCGTAATGTAGTCGATCTCAAGAATTTCAATTTAATTCAAGAGCATCTCGTTGACATATTATAGCATAGAAGAAAATTTGACGAGATCAAGATATCGATTAGGTACTGTAAAAGTAGAGTTTACAAGTGTTCAATACAGGTGATGTAAAGAAGGAACCTTATCGGCTCTTAAGATTGTAGAAAATCACTTCAAAAGATTATTATGGCTCCTCGCAGATGCTTTGTTTCCCTTCCAAAATCGTGCGTAATTTAGTGCTATCTGAAAACTTTTTCGGCAAACATGATACATATCTCGAGTCTTGGATAGATATAATTTGAAATTAATACAAGCACTGAAGCCTTATTGGCTTCGTGTGTTTAATGCGTTAGTATGTACGTGATATAATGTTCCTATGAGTATGCAGGTTGCAGTGATACTACTAGTGATCCACGATTTACCCAAATCGAAAAATATCTTTGTAATCCCGACCCTCCGAAAGTCATCTTTGGTTTTGTTCAATATTCACATACTCGAAAACAAATTCAAAACCTATGACTACAGACACTGCACAGCTACTAACAAAAGCTACAGAATAGCACAAACTTTCTCGTTCTAGTTAGATATCTAATAAGTTTTTTTGGCTGTTGTGTATCGGCATCTAAGGGTCTGTTTCACCAAAAAATGAGTAAGAGTTTAGTCTGTAGTAAATCAAGTTTACTCTAAAGTAACTTCTCGGAGCGTTTCACCAACACTTCGAATGTAAATCTCTTCCACAAGAGTAAATTCTAGAGTAACTTCACAAGGCGAAAATCCGTCGAGTAAAGTACGGAGTAAGCTGTTTTCAACGCGCGTGTCCCTCCCTAGTGTTGTTATGGCTCAACGATTGATATTGTGATTGATAACGACGTGATGATATTTGAAAATGATTCCCGAGATGACAAAGATGGGTGCGGGAGTGAATGGATGGGTTTTCCAATTATGACGATGAAAATTTTGTCAAAAGGTTGGTTGACCAAATCATCTCTTCCAATTGGAAAAATTTAATCTGATTTCGAAACGATAAATTAGCATACTAATTACGAAACTAACATTTCCTGCATTAGCTCAATTTTTTGGTCCCATAATAGCAAAATAGAACTTGTGGGGATAAAATAGCTAATATTTTGCGGATTATTTCTAACTTTTGTAATTTTTCGAAAACTAAGAGAGTTCAACGAAAATAATACCCGAAATGATCACTAAGTTATCTTTACTCTATCCCACAAAAAACTGAAAAAAATATTTTTTTTCTTCAAAAATATTTAACATAATCGTACGGTATTTGAAAAGCTATTGTATAGAACATATTACAATTAGTACTAAAAGTGGTGACTATTCAAGTTATCCCATTTTCTTCATAGAGGTTTTGAAAAAAATTATTTCTTTTCGTTCGACCAAAGGTCTTTCGAGGGATTTCAGTTTTACATGCAGACTTTTTTTGGGATTTGGGCATTCCTTGACAAACTCAGGTTAAATACTCTGGCTCAATTAATTCTTTCGTTTTCTTTTAGATGATACTGAAGTTTAATCTTGTTTTTTAAAAACTTGTTTTAAGGATAAACTGTTAGAAGTACCCTGTCGAGCTGTAGGATGGGAAACAGATAAGATTCTACAGAGATACGGGCAGATATTATTAGTTATGGGATGACTAAGCATATCTTTGGGAAATTTAGATTTGATTCGACTTGGGATGCTTGTTCTTCGGCCTCGGTGGAATTTCAGAGCGGAATGAGATGAGGGAAGGGAAGAATATTATTTGCTACTTTTTTTATATGTTCTAGCGCATTATCCATTTGGAGTTCTCTGTGAATTTGATTGTTAGGTATAAACCATGGAGTTTAATTGACTTTTTAAGGACTTTATTTTGAACAAATTTGCATTTTTTGGATGGTGGTAGGAGCATAGGGCAAGTATAAGTTACTGTGGATAGGATAATAGATTTATTTAGTAGAATCTGGCATTTGGTGTTAAGTGTTGAATGTTGATTTACAAAAGGGTATAGTTTTGATATTTTGGCATTGGATTTGTTGATTGCTGCGTGATTATGGGGTTTCCAGGCATTTTTCTTGTCTAACAATACTGCGAGATGCTTTATTGGTTCACGTTTCCAAGATATTCCATTATCATTTCAGATAGGGCGGGTTTTGAGACCTCCTATGAGTAAATATCTTCGTCTGGCATTTTCGTGGATTGATTACGATTCTCCATTTTTTGTCAATTGCATTAGGATGTTAAGATTATTCTGGGCTCTATTGTATGCCACGTTAATATCTGTACTTGCTGAATGCAGTGCCGTATCGTCAGCAAAGAGAGCAGTTTCCACGTTAGAATATTTAGGTATGTACCTCACGAAGATATTAAATCAAATAGGCGAGAGAACTGAGCCCTGAGAAGCTCCGGCTAGTGATGAGTAGAAAATGAGTTATTGATTTTAACCTTAAATTTTCTATCAGTGATAAAGCCTTTAATATTATTCTGAATATACTCAGGGACTCCAAGTTGTCTTACCTTAAATAACAGACCGGTTTACCAAACTCTGTCGTACGCTTGTGCAATATCCAGAAATGCGGCTAGAGTATGTTTTTTCTCTTCGAAGTTATTTGCAATATACTCAGTTAGCCTTAAGCTGGTATGTGCAGGAGTGATTTGAGCTGAAACCAATTTGAATATCTGGTATTGTATCCGTGTCTGTCATGTATTTGTTACGTCTCTTTAGAAGAAGCCTCTCAAAAATCTTAGAAATTGAGTGCAGGGGACTAATTGGTCTGCAATGTTCAGAGCGTCGAGGATCTTTTCCTGGCTCGCGAAAAGGACAATTGCAGGATTCCAGGCTCTAGGGAAATAGTTAAATTGTAAGATGGCATTAAATACTGCAGTTAGTCCTGATACAGAATTATTACCGATATTTTTCAGTATCTTATTGCTGATTCAATCAACACT